TCTATGTTACAGCCTCGGGCCGACGGGTTACAGGCTGCAGAATCAGCAAGTCATTGCAGACGTACCCTCCCCCGGAGCGAGGACCTCCGAGCTAGGAGTGCAGGCGTGCAGAGCACCAAGGGTACTCTCCCCTCTTAGTTGCCTCATACTTGAGGACAACAGACTTTGTTATGTTGAGAAGTTCCCTACATGTAAACCAGCGATCCTCGGTATGAGGCTGGTAGAGGAACTTCACAAGATACTGAATGTCTGGGTCTGGGTCTTCGCCCATCTCATCCTCAATCTTCTCCACTTCATATCCCTTTTCAGGGATCGGTGGACCGTATTGAGGGGGTCTGTCCATAAATGTATCAGTTGAGGTAAAAGGCAACAATTTAGATACATGAAAGACCAGATAGGTTTGTAGATGCAGGGGGATATTAACAACGTAGGATGGTCCGAAAGGATAAACTCCCACTGTATCTAAAACATGCCATGGACCCATGTAGCTGATTCTTTTTGTGGAGTTGCAACATCAGGGTCCTTCACTTATGAGGACACTGATCTGGATGAGATGTGGGAGGAGGATGAATCTCAGGGCCTTGCTGATCTCTTCCTGTCTTTGCAGGAAAGAAAGAAGCATAGGTCAGATCTCATCTTGCTTCGACCCTTTATCCTGGGAGTCAGGTTCGAAGGGCTCTTAGACTGTGGGGCTACTCGTTTGTTTTTTTTTTAAGAATCCCGCTCGTGGCTGCAGATAGGAGTGATGATAAGAGCATTCACTCCTATCTGGACCCCTGGGGGCTCCAGTCTATTGGTGGGGAGCTGCACCTGCTGGAAAACGGGTCCAGCGTCCCTTGATTGCAATGAAAAGATAATGAAACAGATCTTACTGGGAACCGGGCCCAGCGTCCCTTGTACCTCTTCACCCTCAAATGAGTGGCGCCAGATATCTCAGTTAAACCCTGGTACTAAGCTTGGATGATATTTTTGGTAATCTTTTTACCTTGAATGGGGATCATACTGTGTTCTACCTGGCCTTGTGTCTCTTTGCTAGGTTGCTAGCTGATTGAGATTCACTCTGTCTGTATCTCTTTCATTTTTGTTAGGCAAAACTAAACTGCAAGGTGGCTTAGCCCTTTTTTCCACTGAGCATTCCTCCCTCAATCATAGCCATACCAACTCACAGGGACAAGAGCTAATGAGGAGGGTGGAAATGGGTCTGGAAACTCTGATGGGGATCAAAGGGGGACTGATGGGTCCATATTTGACCAATCATGGAAAGACAGGCAGTAGTCTCTTTGTGCTTCCTCGACTTGTCCTCCCTTTTTTCCTTTCCTGGACCCGCCCTCTTTGATTTGTCAAATCTTGCCTCCTTGAGGCCCCACTAGCCAAGCGTCACTAATAGTTGGATATGATGAAGTATTTCTTTTTCGGTTGATAGGAGTTGAATTTTTTCGTTAACTTTGTTCCATTGAATTGTGATGTATGTCTGCACTTACAGCTTAATCATTTCTGTTAGATCAGGGTCGTCAAGCCTCGCACCTTTCATTTCAAAATACATCGTCGATTCCAGAGGGCCCAAAGGATGGCTCTTCTGCCAATTTGAAATAAGTTATGGGTGAAATCATCGAGAGAGACTGAGGAGCAAGTCTCACATAATAGAGCCCTCCAGTTCCATGATTACGTCAGCGGAGTGTTTAGGGAATTCTAAATCCTGTCTCACCAGGGCCATAATCAAACCGTATTAGGACATTGCAAGAAAATGTGTTCTATGGTCTCTGGAATGGTTCTGCTTGGAAATGTGTAGAAACATAGCTTGCACCAAGGTTTGGCAAGACCTTTTTTATATAACGAGGTCCTATCCATGAGTCAGCCGTTTGTGGGAAGACATCGATGGTCTATTTGCCATTGTAATGAGGCAATCTTTGTCGGTCTGATCTTGACAGTTTTGAACCACTTGACATTCCTAGGATCTTCCTTGCTTACATTCAGGTGTTTCATCCATCTAGTTTCGACCTGATTTTTCAAATCCAATCTCGGCCTCAGCATTCTATAGGTTAATTTGACCGACAGTGTTTGGATGTTACGAGTACACTTTTTTCGACCCTTCATGGGGACCGTCCATGACCAATAGATTGGGTCAAAAGCCAGTTTATTAATTGGTAAGGATGGTTTGAATGCGAGCTAATGGTCTTTTTGTTTCAGAACTCTAATCTTGAACTCTAAGTCAGTATTCACCCATCTGGTTTCGTTTGAACAACTTACCTTTATTTGATTTCTCTAACCGATTCAGAATATTGAGAGTAAGACTGAACCCCTTCCCTTTATCATCACTACATTCCCTATTTGTTGGGGATCCCTATGGAGAGTCACCCAATCGCTCTCTTTAAGTTGGGGACCTTTTCTGAGGATTCTCAACCATTCTACCGGGATGGCTTTAGTAATTGTGTCAAGTGTGTTTGTTGATCCCCTGCAATACCGTAAGTTCGGCAGGAGGTCTGAGAGTTGGTGTCAATCCTGTGTCTCTGAGCTCCAGATGTCCCCAACCCTTAGTATCCCTTTCTTGACCCAGTCTTTCCAAGGAGAATCCATACAGTGGAAACATGTACCTTGTGAGTCAATTATCCATCTATTATTGAAAAGAGGTTGCTGACAGACTTCCTCCCATCTATTTGGAGAAGTTTTATCCGGTAGGGGTAGTTTTTGCCAGGTTTTGAGGAGATTTGTCCAAAAGGGGTCGTTTTTAATGT